ATGCATCGAGATGCAATTAGTATGAACTCTTATGCGTTAAACTAACCAAGGCTAGTTAAACATATTAAAAGATTGATGGTTGCTTTAACACGCAAAATTAGCCCCATTAGTATCCATTCATGAATGTCATTTTACAAACTTTATGAAATATTAATAATTCTCGCTATTTCCCTAGGCAAATATATTTAGATGTTATATGTATAAGAACAATGTTTCTCACATTTTATACATGAGTAATGTACGTGCAGGTATTAAGAATCATAAAAAATAATGTTTTTTTAAAAAGGAACGTTGTTATCAAGCCACACAGTAATTAAATAAATCAAAATTTATAATTTATTAATCAATATGCTATAAGAAAAATATTAGTATAAACCAGTTTGAACATAAACTTATTTTTAATCCCTAAAGTATTTCTGGTACTGGAAAAATTTACAATTATAACTAAGCGTTATCTATTTAAAACTTTCGTATTTTCTGCTTCCTTAAACTATTAAACTTTTCAACGCATTCTTCCAGTCTACTTAATAAGCGACAAACCGAGATGTTCTTATTTCCCTGACAATTAAATTTCTATGCGGCAGTATATAGAACAAATTCAGCATTTATGTCTTTCACTTGTGTATTTTTATCCGCATAAATCAATTTTACTTACACGTGTGGTTCAGGATGGAATGATATTTCAATAAATTTCAATGCTATAAAAGAATTTGTTACAGTAATGTTTTAGCAGCATTATTATTGGTATTTTCTCTAAAAATGTTTTGTTTTAATATAATAATATGAATGTAAAGCATTTCATGTATAATGATAAAAATAAAGTGGAAATCGAAGACTTTTTAGTCAATCATTGCGTCCTTATATTTGTAGAAGTAAATGTGTTAAAAAGCAACAATGATGTAATCCGATTTTGAGTTTACCAAGCGATTTGCATTCTTTGCCTAAGTCGTATAAAAAGCTACGTAGAATCCATTTGGTGATTGATTTTGCGTCTGTACTTCTAAATACGAATAAATTTGCTTACAAATGAATGAGTCAACCAAATGACTTTATTCGTAAATATATTTACGATTCGTTTATAGCCATGATAAAAAATTGCGTAGGAAATTTCAACAAATTGACATTATGATTAAATCAGAGCGTCACATTAATGAGTTTGTTTTTTCTAGAATCTATCTTATAATTTATACACACGAATATTAATCTTTTAGACAATTATATGAAGAATTTCAACTACAAAGTTTTGTGATTATCAGACTGTTTTTAATTGCGATGCCATTTTTATCTCTCTCGCATCCCGAAAATTATGTACCTATATTTCGATGCCGCTTCGTAACAAAAGAAGAAGAAGAAGGAGAAGTTGATAAAAAGATATTTCTTTAAAAATAATATGTTAGTGTATTAAAAATATTAAAATAGAAAGTAAACAAAACCTTTCTGCTTTTTTGCGGTACAGTCAAATAAAAGCCACGTATACCAAACACGCTGTCGGTTATTAGAGATAATTACAATTCCATTGTAAACGGCAGCTTACACACGGTTGCACGTTGTTTCATCGTTACGGAGCTGCTAAACTAATCGCATTAAAAGACAAGAGTGAGAACTACTTCCTTCCTGAATGTATTCCGTCTAACTCTCTCCCTCTCTGTCTTCTCGCATACTTTCCCTAACAAATGCAGATACTTCGGAGGATGCTGTAAACTTTGTAAAACGTTTTATAAGTGCTCGCGTTCCGGATGTAGAATATGTCAGAAACAGAACTTGGAATTAATGACTAGATTTTGCCACAGCTTAATTCTTTTTTGATGTTATCTCTACTTATGAACATAATTTCTGTTACTAGTAAATAACTGAAATACGTATGTAAAATGATTCACGTTGACGCACAATTTTTTATCAATTCTATTAAATTACATATAGAGGAAAAACATCAAAATTATTTTTTGTCAATGTTTTAATTTTATTGCATTGCCGATGTAGAAAATTAATTACATTAAATCGATATCTTCTTCATTAAATCTCTCATTAGATAATTTCTATTACTTAGTGTTATTTTAAATATTACTCGATAGAATGTGGTGTTTTAAAAAAATATTTTGTAAATTTATCAATTTGTCCTTATCAATTATTATCTTTGTCAAAGAAAAACCAATTTTAATTTTTATACCATCCGTGACTGGAAGAACATCCGATTATTTTTCTGGAATACTCTGTATAATGAAACCCATTCTAATGCAAGACGAAGTGTATTATTTTCTTAGCAGTCGTGCTAAGCTTCGTGAAATAAAGATAAGCGGGTAACAGTGAAGAAGACAAATCGCGCCTTCTATTCGTTCTTGTTAATAGCCAAAGAAGCGTCAATCTAATCGCATTAAAAGATTAAACCGCGATGATTGTGATTGCGGTCGTCCGCCTCTCCGTTCCGGTCGCGTGGTGCTTGTCGTTCTTCCATTTGTCACCAGTCAGAGAAAAATCCAATGGCAATATCGTCGGTTGAGGGGCCTCATGACGCGTCTTTCGTTGAATGGATGAGAGAGGAGGATGTGAAAAAGAACAAGAAATCGTGGAACAAGATTGTCAGATCCGTAATGGTACGTATGTATAGTAGAAAATAGTAGAGCAAAAAGGATAATAGGATGCGCTTAAATAGATGTTCACACGTCACTTGTTCGTCAGAATACTCTCTCGAAAGAAAGTATTAAAAGGTTCTCTTGATACTCAAAAGGTAATAAGTAAAAATAAAAAAGATACATAAAAATCTTATATTTCTATAGTATTTTAATGATCACGTAATTAAAAAAAAACCTTTTGCCACTGTTTAGAAGACAACTCCGTATTTCTTTTTTTTTTATGATAAAGATCGAATTAGGTTTGTCGGACTTAACGCTTTTAGTTTTAAGATAATTTAAGACGTGTACTCGGGAACTCATATTGAAACAAGATACATTTGCGACAAGATATATAAGTCAATCCACGACCAAGAACTAAATTTCAAATGCTCCTTTTGCAACAGGCTATGTCATTTGTAAATCCAACCGATCTTTAAGTGACACATTTCATCCTCGGTCGACATATTCAAGATCTTCATTCATCGCTTGTCATCGCATCTTCCTGACGGGCACGATTTTCGTGCACATAATAATCACTACTATCGTTACGATATGCTGCTTCATTCGAATACCAGGTGAAGAAACTATGTTCGCGTGATCGAGTTTACACCTTTCTATCTATATTATCCCGCCAATTTATACACATACATATATATATATTTTTTTTATATTTAATATATAAAAATAATTGTTTTTAATGCAATTAACATTTCTCATCTTATGCAGATAAATTCTCGAATTACACGTAATGGTTCATCATCATTATTACAAATTATATACGGTTTAATGAGGAAAATACGCAAGTTTATTGCTTACCGTTATTAAGTATGGAGTATATTTTATGAAAACATAAAAACAGCTAATGCGTAATGCACATATAAAACACATTTACACATTCTCTCTCTCTCTCTCTCTCTCTCTCTCTCTCTCTCTCTCTCTCTCTTTCGTATTCGCAAGACGCTGTATAATCCATCGTAGCAATTCGTGTAGCAAGCAAGTTTTGCCACTATACGCCGTAGGAATGTATGGCTCAATTATACCCGCTAATTAGTTCCGTTGGAAGTTTAAGGGTGCATTCAATCATGCACCAGCGTGTGCAATTATAATAGTACCGAAAGCACTTTTTATCATCTCGTACATTATGTATTTTCCGCAAAAATAAGAAGCTGCAATATAAATGGCAGAAAAACGGCTAATCTTCTAATTTCTCTAACGACAAAAAAAATTCCAAAAATTTATAGAAAACATTCACATATCTTAGAATTATGAAATAATTTAAATAAAACGATTATCTACTATACACTTTAATATTTCATATCTGTCGGAAATCATTTAGATAATTATAACTGATATAACATATTACATTATATTTTTTTATTATATTAAAATTCTGAAAAACCTCACGGAAACATTTTGAAAAACGTCCACTGAACAAATGTCTAGTTTATGCAAATGGTACAAAGTAGCAGACAACGACCTGAATTTCAGTATGTCAGGCCAGTAGACTGAACTGTCGCGCATAGAAATCCAATCCACAGTATCATTTTGTGGCGATCACCGTGAACGGGATTCAAAAGGGGCTGGGGATAAGGATGGTTTCGCTATTGCATGAAAGGTAACTGGCCTGCTTGGACTTCTCGTCTTACTTTCTTTCTCCTCACGTGTTCACGGCAGAATATACATTGCGAAAATATTCGGATTGGAAATTGGTTATACATTGCTATACGGGATCTTTTTGACTACTCAACCCACCTAGTAATATACGCGGATAAAAAAGATTTTGAAGATATAAAATCCATTCCAAATTATGTACCTTTTTCCTACAGTCTCTCTCAAAAGTATATTTGATATACGTATTTTATGAATAATGAAATAAAAAATTGTAATTTATATAATTTTGATAACACTTCATAGGACAATACAATTATTAATTATTAATTATTACAGGAAATAGAATTCACATAGATATAGAGTGTTTATTATAATCAGTGGAGTCAAATATCTGGAAATTAAATTGGATCTGATATTTTTCATAATTGTTTAAAGCAACTGAAATCGAAATTACGTTGCTATTTTCGTGGTAATAATCCTTCATTCAGGTTTAATAATAAAAAGAGATAAATAAATGATTGAGGCTGCAGGTGATATCCGTAATGCCTCAATTTTTTGATTCATTAGAGAAGCCTAATTCGATATATCGACATAATTTAATTTTTTATATCTCTGATACTTTACATATAATTTTAAATTCTTACGTAATTATCTGTGCTTAATATTAGTTTTTATTCAGATAATTCGGTAATTCAGGTTATGTCAATTTAAGTCGAGACAATAGTTGATAATTATTAACATAAAAAAAAAAATCTCGAATTTCGTAACATCGTGACTTACCAAGCATTTAGGATATTCTTCAGCCGGAGCAGGTCTTTTCCATCCGAGTAACGGTGGTATACAAACAAGCGCTGATAATAGCCAGACGAGGGCGATCATGAGTGCCGCTCTAGCCGGTGTTCTTTTCTTCAGATAGTCGACCGCTTGTGTAATGCTCCAAAACCTGTCTAAGCTGATTAGGCACAGATTCATGATACTGGCCGTACACAACAACACGTCCATGGCAGAATGAATGTCACACCACCAATACCCGAAGATCCAGTAACCCATTATCTCATTAGCGAGAGAGAATGGCATAATCACTAGACCGAGGAAGAAGTCCGCTACCGCGAGGCTGGCTATGAACCAATTCTGTATGTTCTTGAGCGCTTTCTCCGTGGCAATGGCGATTATCACCAGCATATTTCCCACGACGATCACGATCATCAGTAGCGTCGCGAGGATAGACGCCAATATAATATGCGGGAGAGTGTATCCCGACGGGTACATACCCTCCAGAACAATGAAAGTCTCGTTATAACTAATATTCCATGGATGACGGAAACTACCGTTGAACGAGTCGTTGAACGAATTGATCGTGTCCTCCATTGTGTCGCTAAAACCGAAGAGCAACCAATCCTTTCCGATCACAACTTCCTCCTCCGTGCTGTTCGATACACCTGTACTCACACTCACACTATCGGTAGTACTGCCTACGCTGTCACCACTTTGTTCACTGCTGTCGCCCTCAATACTTATTCCTACCCTTCTTTCTTCGTCAGTAAATGCAACTTCTCCGCTCTTTGCCGCGTCTACAGTGTTCCTGCCACAAATTCGAGTTTCTGACGTGTGGCCGCAATGATCGGAAGCTTCCTTTCTCGCTACCTCTTGCTTGGGCTTGCCGCCCTCTCTTCCTGTCGTGGTGTTACGCTTGTTGCCCTCGATGTGTTTTTCGTTGTTTTTAGCAGCGTTCTTGCTCGGTCCTTTCTCAGCACCTCCACCGCTGAAGAGGCGACTAACACGATCACTGGTAGCTGTCGCGGTCAGACGCCGCTGTTGCTTACCGTTTGAGATCGCACGTGTCGGGAGGGCCTCGTTACTCGGAAACGTAGAGCCACCACTGATTGGTCGAGACCACGTCATGTTCCCCTCAAAGACGCTCGTGGACGCCGTTGTCGGACTATCGACGGCGATGGTCATAATGCTGCCGAGAAGCGGCATCACTCGCACCCTCGCCGGGGACTGTAGATGCTATCTCGGTAAGGACAAAGCAGAGGTTGCGGCCGCGCGCGAATAGCAACGTGCCCCGGGTGCCAGCTCGAGTAGCAGCAGCAATAGGAGGGTGGTGGTCTCGTCGCATCTCGAGGCCAAGGGCGTCATGCCCGTTTCAGGATAATGCCATCGTTGTCGAATACGTAAATACTTCCACGCGCGCTCTTCCTCTCGCTCGTCCTCTTGGCTCGTTCTTGTTGAAGCCGTTGTTTATCGTTGGATTATTTTTCCGGCTCAAACAATATATTGATTTGCGAAACCAACTTCGTTGATCGAGCTTGTTCCCACTGTAATCGATGCGTATTTTAAAATGTAAATTACGATAGTACCACACTTAATCGAAAAAATATTTTGACTTAGGAGTCTCTTTCGCTCGAATTGAAAGTCTCGTGATTTTTTGCGCGCGTAATTTTGCAATTTACGCGTGATACTCACGTTTGCATTATTTTTCCCTTAGCGCAGCTAATGCGATTAAATTTCGCTTTTGACAATCGTTAACCGTCTTTTTTTTTCTCTATTGGACCAAATCTTTTAGAATCTAGTTTAGCTTAAATTTAGCTAATTTCGGCGTAACTGACACCTTCGGTTTCCTGTTGTCGTAACGTTACTTCCGTTACGTCTTCGGTGCCGTGGTCATACTTAGTTGGTCTCTAATTTATTGCTTGCATGAGTCGCGACTCCGTTCCTCGTATTTCCTGCATTCACTGGTCCACAACAGACTTAACACGGACAGAGTGTACAGAGATTTATGGATAGTCCGGTGGGCGACTTAATTAAGAGTATCAAGGTAGATAGAGAAAGTGAAAGAGAAAGATAGATGTGAGAGAGAGAGAGAGAGAGAGAGAGAGAGAGAGAGAGAGAAAGAGAGAGAGAAAGAGAAAGAGAGAGAGAGAGAGAAAAAGAGATAGTCTATAAGAATAAGAGTAAAAAATTGGTCCCCTTTTTTTTACCTTTTCTTTATATTAAGCTTGAGCAGCCTACATAGCCTGGAGGCAAATGAAGCGAGAAAAGTTGTCTTGAGAAAGTGCCGACGATTGTAAGAAAATTTCTCTTTAGGACTAGCACAGATTCTCAAAGTAATTTCACAAGACGACAGCCATTTTAACACGGTCGTGAGACATGATTTTGTCTAAAACTTGATAATTGATTTACGCGCTCGTACGTTTCCTCTTTCGTGACGGAAACGCGATTTCCTCGTTTCACTTCAATTTTCGCTTCTTCTCTCGCTTTCTTTCCTCAAGTCCTACGCGCGGCTCGACGTTGTTTCACTCTAACGATGCCCGCGAGCTAATTAATTATCGCGCCGGGGCTAAAAGGCTAAGCGCTGGATACCCGTACTGCTCCGACCTGCTTTTCGAATACTACAAAATCAGTGAGAAAATCAGAACGACAGAGATTATAGATTGTAGAATTATATACACGTATTTATGATACACCTAATGTGTAATATATGTTATATGTATTAACGCGAGTCCGAAGGTGCTACTCACGAGCCATGTGCATGCCTTATTAATAACTTATGTAAATATACGCGGAATTTATTAGCGATTTATCAATTATAGGTAACTAAAAGCGCGTATATATTCTTAATCTAAATTCTATTATTAAATACAAGATACAATATATGCCAAGTTAATTGGTACATGATACGTAGAAACAAGACAGAAGCAAGAGAAAGATGATAGAGAAATATAGTGAGAAAGAACGAGAGAGAGAGAGAGAGAGAGAGAGGGGCCAACAGAGAGAAAAAAATTTAAATGAAGTAAAATCGCCCTTTTGCTTTAAAGAAACCGCGCGCGTTAATATAATATAAGGACTTCCCCGTATGTACACCTATTTACACATTATAGACCTCATTACGCCGCGACGACGTGTCCCGTTTACGTGTCTCTTCTAATCCTCCTTCATACGGCACTAGGTCATTAGATTACGTAGATCCATTCATAAGTTCACTCACGACTTTCACGATCTACGTTTGTCTGTTGTAAAATACTGTAGCTTCGACTACAATAGAGAATTAACGTAAAAATGTCTATTTCATCAATGTCGCCTGTTGGTATCGCAACGAGATGCCATTCGTTGCTTCGGTATATCCAGATTTTCAGTGGTAATTCACGGTATCTGTCGAACCTCCTTCGAATCCTTTCGTTCAAACTATTTCCTGGATTTGGCGGCTTTTGGTGCGGTAAATGGGAAAAGAATCCTTCTCCAATTTCTTCTTACAAACTTGTTTCTATTCGATTTGTGAGGGATGAGATCTTCTCTATCTCGCAACGCGCGTGTAATTCGCAGTAGTCGATAATTCTTAACTTTTTTTTTCAAGTTGATGCTACTCAGCTGTCTTTGATTCGATCTCCGTTGGACGATCTAACAGTGCTACCTTTTTCTTCGGCTATGACAGTATCGGAGATTTGCCTTTACCAGAGACATTTCGCCTCTGACGGAGCACGTCTTATCTTCTATAAGAATTGTTATTTTTGTGTACGTAAGTTTCCTCGCTCTTCTTCCCGGAGTAAATCTATAAGCCGGTAAGACTCACGTAAAAATCTTCAATCGAATCACGATACCACTATATTCTTAACATCGCGTCTTTAAAACTTGTAAAGGTCGTTTTCTTGCCTTTTTTCTGTTTTAAGCACTCCGACAAGCACGGCAAAAACGAAGCTACGAATCGGATACGTTGCAAAATGACATTATCGGGACGAGATTCAATTCGCGCACTAGGACTGGGAGCACGATTGGTCTCATGGGGTCTCCCCAATGCACACGTATAACTTCTCAGTCTTTCAACAGTCAGCACAATTCACTCGAGCGAGTCTGGCTTGCGAGTGGAGGCTTTTCGCATTATTTGTATATCTCGCGAATACTGACTGAGGGATTAATTAACGACAGGCAATACGACAGGCAAAAAGCAGAGGAGAGAAAAAACGAATTTATATTGATATCAATGACACAGTCGCGTGGTGGGCTGTCCAGCGGCCAACTCAGTCGACTTCTCAGCACTAATTATAAAGAAGCCTCGATGAAACGTCTTGATCGTCTCGCCCTCGTGTCTCTTCAACACCGTGTGCATGCGTGCGTGCGTGCGAGTAGTTCGAGGTTGTCTCATGGGTGTTTGGAAACGCACTGCAGCCGTGAGGGACGAGCCAGGAACTCGAACTCCCTCTCGTGTCGTTCGGTGGATGGAGACTCTCGCAGGATGTTGGCGGAGAGAGAGAGAAAGAGAAAGAGAGAGAAAGAGAGAGAGAGAGAGAGAGGGAGAGAGAGGGGGAAAAGAGAGAGAGAGAGAATGTACGTGCGCGTATGGCTGTACGTGTATATATATGTGTAACTACGTTTTTGTATGTGGCCGTGTGCCTGCGTGTATCCTGTGTATACGTGTGCATGTATATGTGACGAGGGAGCGTGAGGGAGGGAAAGAGAGCTTGCTTGGCTCACTGGAGGCTGACTGTTGGCCCGACCGATCGCTCCGTCCGACGGTACCAGCGTCGGGGCGCCGTCTAACGGAGTCGTGAAACTTGCGGCGCAAGCGTCGGGACGCGACTAGTCTCCGATAGCACGGTCGCGGACAGTCGACTTTGGACCATCGACCGATCGGTCCGCAATGAAAATATGTTGTTACTCCGATCTTCCCACAAATAACACCACTTCGAATATTCGAATGTTCCACCCTCACACCAACCATTGCTTGATTATTACATTCATCGATGTTGCTACTATTACTATCACCATTTTTAAATCACTGACAATAAGTTTATTGCCTATTATAATGGCTCTTAAGCATTTTATATAACTTTAAAAATGAAATAAATCGTGAAAATGTTTCTATTTATTACGATGATAAATTCTTTAACTTCGTATTGATGGTTATAGATATCAGAGAGGTAAAGAAGATATATGTCACTTTCATATATTCAATAACTGTTTCGTTCATCAGTTCTCTCTTGTCAACAGTATTGAGAAACATTCAATTTTTAATAAATCAATCCTCATAAATAACAAGATTTAAATCTATATTTGATCAGTTACAAACTTTCGACGTATATATCAGCGGAAAATGAGGACAATGGAATAATATATGACGTAAATGACCAAGTAGAGAAATGCTACATAAATAAATATTAAAATAAATAACATGAATAAATATTCCAATGCAAAAATTAATTGCCCCATATTTTACACGATTATGAATACCGTTGTTATCGCGTTATATTAATCTCGAGAGTAATGTAGCAGGGAGAAACATAAATCGACGTTTAAATAGTGCATAAACAAAAATATGGGATTTACAAAGTTAATGAGTGTATCCTTCTGGAAAGTCATTATCGTCTACAAAAAGTACGACTCATAATGTTACTTCCGATTTACATCTGAACTGAATGTCGATAATTCAATAATATTAGATATGAAAAATGATACAATATATAATTTGTTTTAATATAAAAATCATGGCAAAAGATATAATTTTAAAAAACATTACTATCATTTTTTATAATGAAGCAAGATCGCACAGTTTTCTCGCTCCATTAAGCTCATTTAAACGAGGAATGCAATCGTAGACCCTTAATAGCGACATTAAAGCTTCTAACATCTGTAGTCGATTAGATTACTGCTCCTAGAAAGAAAATAATTTCAACGAAGAATGAATGAGGACTTGATACCATTTTACTTTTACGAATGTTATTTAGCTTTGATGTATTTGATATGTAATTATCATTATACATATACGTATATAAGTATTGTTCTTTTCATATTCTACTAATTGTACAACTGATACGAATATGTCTAAATGCTTTTTATATTTTGTTCATTTTGTACATCTCTGATGTACTGAGATTCTACTATCGGATAACGAAGTATAAATGTGACATTCAAATGCATATATTTTAAGTATAATATATTTTATTAAAATAAATCTGAGCTTTGCGTAAGCGTAAATATTTTTTACAATTCAAATTTATCTACTTTGATATAGGAATATACTCCATTTCTGCTGATATCAAAACAGGTAATCATAAAAAAGAATAGAAAATAACTTTCAAATTTAAAAATTGCAAACTCATGAAAGTGTTTTCATTTTAAACTTATACAAGCTCATGTTTTGTGCATTATCTATCGCGAGATATGTTTCTTTACGTCTCACGAAAAGTGCATGCAATCGATTCTCTTATAGGAACAGCACTCGCCGATAATCTTAGTAGCTCATCCGAGCAGAACCTTGATCCTTGTTTATAATCTAATTCCGTTGAAGAAAACTCAGTATTATTTTATCAAATAAATACTGGATTCTTTTACACTTTTCTTTAATAGAAGTTACTTCGATCGCATGACTAGTTCGAAGGAAAGAAAGACCCTTTCCGTTGAAAATGGACAGTCAATAAAAAGATTACCGTCGAAAACTATTATTGAGAAAAATTCGACGACATCTTTCTGGTTCAATAGTACTTCTCTCAACCCGCAGAAGAGACATTTCTTTTTTGCAAAAAAAATTACATCTTATTTCAAATGATGACAGGTACTTTTACGTTTGTATGGATATTGAATTTAATTAATTGAAGCTTGTTTCTATGATTTATTCCAACTATTTCTTCTTGCAGAAATGCTTAACTCTTTCAGCAGATTTAAATGCAAATATGAAAGATTCATAAAACTTTCAACGTTTGAAATATTTTTTTCATATATTTTATGGTTTCGACGATATTCGCAAGTAATCAAATATCTCGATTTAGCATCGAGGGACTATTCCAATTTCTAAACCTATATATAAACGGATACATCAAATATGCACAAGAAATATGTGTCTCTTATTTTGTGAGCCGCGTCATATATATAAAACTCATAAAAAAAATTGGAAAAAATAAGT